GTGTTGGGGTGGGGGCGGTCCTGGGCGTGGCGATGGCGGGGCACAGGGGGCGCTGGGATGCGGGGCCGGGTCCCGCGGGGCTCAGACGCGGTGTGGTCCGTGCAGGATGACCCAGGCGTGCCACCGCAAGTGCGTCCCGCCGCTGTACAAGGAGTCGGAGCTGTCCAAGGGGGAGTGCGTGTGCCTGGACCGGTGCGTGGCCAAGTACCTGGAGGTGCACGAGCGGATGGGCAAGAAGCTGACGGAGCTGTCGCTGCAGGACGAGGAGCTGCTCAAGCGGATGCAGCAGGGCAGCGGCAGCGCCTGAGCCCCCCAACCTGCACCCCAATAAACCGGGGGCGCTGGGCCCCCTCGCCCCCCAAACCCACCCCGTGGCCGTGTGTTGGGGTATGCGGTGCCCGTGGCTGCTGCTGGGAGCCCCCCCCTTGCTGTCCCCAGCTGCCACGTGCCGTGTCCTTGTGGGGGGCACCCCTGGGTGCCCCCCCTGCCGGGCCCAACCCGTGTAATCCCCTGGATTAGGCAGAGCCGGGCTGAGCCCCTTGTAATCCCCAGTGGGGTGGGACAGGGCTCAGCCCCTCCCTGTCTGTGTGCACTGGGGGTCACCGGAGGGGACAGCCAAGGGTCCCTGCACAGGGACATAGCCCTGGAGGGACAGGGCACAGGGATACCCACACAGGGACACAGCCCTGGAGGGGCAGGGCACAGGGACACCCATACACGGATACCCCCAAGACACCGAGCCCTGGCTGGGGACACAGAGATGGGACCATGTGGGGACAACCCAGGGACACCCACCCCTGGGCAGGGAGGATGTGGGGATATCAGAGACCACAGAGGAGCAAGCACAGGGACACTCAAACAGGGACAGTCTGGACATGCACACCCACAGGGACAGTTGGAGGGGACAAGGGACCCCCCCCACGGACACCCGGGGACCTACACCCACTGAGGGACACCCCACCCTGGGTGGGGGACACCTGCCCAGTGGCACCCTGGGGGTGACGCGCGCGCAGAAGGGCCCACAGCCGGGGTGGGCCGTGTCCTCGTGCCCGTGCCCCCGCAGTGTGCGCTCCATCTGTGTGCCGGCGCCTGCGGGAAGTGGGTCAGGCTGTGCAGGGCGCGGGGGTGGCTCCGCGCCCCGCGGCTCCCGTGACACCCGCCGGCGCCCTGCGAGGGGTGCGGGGTGTCGGCGTCACGGGTGCCTGCGTGTGACCGGCCCCGCCGCGGCCGTGGGTGCGCGGTGACGGGTGTGCAGCGCGTGTTGGAGGGTGCGTGTGGCCGCACAACCCCCGGGGGGGGTGGGTGTCCGTCCGTCCGTCTGTCCCCCCCCGCGGCGCCCTGCACGCCTCGCTGCCCTGCCGCCCGCCGCTCCCATCAATATTTCAGGAGCGGCAGGCGGTGACCTGGAACAGCAGTGGCCCCCCTCCCTCGCCTCCCCGCAGCAGCCAGGCCCCGCTCTCCCAAAATAAGACCATTTTTAATAAATAATTTCCCACCTTTTGGTTCCTGTTGGGGGTTTTTCCCGCTCAGGATGGGGGGGGGACCCCCTTCTGTATCCTGCGGCCCCCACCCGCACCGGCTGCCCCCCACAGTTCTCGAGGCCTCCCCTGGGGAGAAGGGAGGCACAGGCGCCCCGAGGAGCTGGGACCCCCCTGGGGCGCCAAGGGGGGCTCAGAGTCGGGGCAGGAGCAGAGCCAGGAGGGGCAGGAGGAGGGGGGGCTGGTGGGAAGCGGCTGCGGCCATGGGGGCACAGGGGTCATGGGGGCAGCTGGCGTCCTCGGGGGGGCCGCGGGAGTCACGGGACGGGGGGGGCGGCCGGGGCTGGGGTCCCCGCAGGTCATGGGGGGGCAGCCCGTCACGGTAGAAGGCGGAGGGCGGCGCGGCCGGGAGGGTGCCAGGGCGGCCCAGCGCCCGCCCAGGGGTGCCCATCACCGCCACCCCATTGGCGCCACCGTTGCCACCTTCCTCCCCTTCCTCCTCCTCCTCCTCGTCGTCATCGGGGCAGGCGTCGAAGTCGTGTGGGCGCAGGTGGCGCAGGTCGGTGCCGCGGCGCTGCGGGGGGCTGGCGCAGGGCACGGCGGAGCTGGAGACGCGCGTGCGGCGGAACCAGGCCCAGAGCGGGCGCGCGCGGCAGTCGCAGGCCCAGGGGTTGGCGTTGAGGCGCAGGAACTGGAGCGCGGGCAGGGCGGCCAGCGGGTCCCCCGGCAGGGCCACCAGGCTGTTGTTGAACAGGTAGAGGATGGTGAGGCGCGCCAGCCCGCCGAAGGCGCGGCGGTGGATGGCTGCCAGCCGGTTGGCGTGCAGCAGCAGGCGGTCCAGGCTCTGCAGCCCCCGGAAGACGCCCTCCGACAGCGCCCGCAGCCGGTTCCCGTGCAGGAAGAGGTGGCTCAGGTTGGCCAGGTCGGCAAAGAGGTCGTCCTGCGGGGAGTGGGAGAGGGGTGGGTGTGGGGTGGGGGTTTACGGTGCTGTTCCCTGGCCTTGCGTGGTGGACATCACCTGGAGACCCACCCTGCCCTGTGTCCCTTCTCCCCGGGCATCATTTAACACCTTGCTCCACATTCCTGCTCCGTGGGTGTTACCCATCACCCTGTCCCATGAACGTCGCCTGTCACCCTGTCCTGTGTCCCTGCTCCACGGGCACCATCCAAGACCTTGTCCCATGTCCCTGCCCTGCTGGTGTCACCCATGGTCCTGCCCCACAGCCATCACCCTGCTGCACGTCCCTGCTCCCTCAGCATCTCCTGTCACCGCCCCACGTTCTGGCTTTGTCAGCATCACCTAGTCCCACATCCTGGCTCTCTGGGCACCACCCACAGAGCGGGCGCCGGTCCCACCACCCAGCTTCACCCATCTCCCGTACCCCAGGCCCCCGTGCCCCCGGGCAGTGCGGACCTGGAGGTAGAGCAGCCCGTTCTCCTGCAGGTAGAGGTACTGGAGGCTGCGGAGGCCGCGGAAGATGCCGCTGGGCAGGCTGGCCAGCCGGCACCGGTACAGGTGCAGGGCCTGGAGGCGGTGGAGGCCGTGGAAGGTGTCGGGGGCCAGGACGCGGAGGTGGGGGTTGTCACCCAGGTCGAGCTCCTCCAGGGCGGGCAGGTGGCGGAAGGTGCCCGGCTGGATGGAGGAGATGTTGTTGGAGTAGAGCCAGAGGGTGACGGTGCTGGGCCCGAAGGTGCCCGCCCGCAGCGCCCCGATGACGTTGTTCTGCAGGAAGAGGCGGCGGGCACCGGGCGGGAGCCCCGCGGGCACCGAGGAGAAGTTGTTGGCCTGGCAGCTGACGGTGGGCGGCGAGACGTAGCAGGTGCAGAGCGCGGGGCAGGCGGGAGCCCCGCCGGGCACCCACACCAGCGCCGCCAGCAGCAGCAGGGCCGCCGGGCGCCCGCCTGAGGGCACAGCGGGGCGTCAGCGCGGGGCACCGCGCCACCCCGACCCCCACGCCGCCGCCCCCCGGCCGCCGCCGCCCGCAGAGCCCCCCAGGGCTGTGCCCACCCCCTCAGGCCGTGGTCCCCCGGGAGAGTCCCAAGGCCCTCACTGTTCCACAGGGTTGGACACCCCTAGGAATCCCCCTAGGAATGGTGTACACCCCATAGGGCCATGGTTCCCTAGGGGAACCCCAAGGTCATGACCACCCCACAGGGCTGGGCACCCCTAGAGCCCCTCCCAAGGCCATGCTCACCCCATAGGGCCATGGTTCCCTAGGAGAACCCCAAGGTCATGACCACTCCAAAGGGTGGGACACCCCTAGGAGCCCCCCAGGGCTGTGCCCACCCATAGGGCTATGGCCCCCAGGAGACCTGCAGGGGTCATGCCTCTCCAGGAACCCCTCAATGGCCACGGTCCCCTGGGAGGCTCCTAGGATCGTGGTCCCCTAGGAGAACCCCAAGGTCATAACCACCCGCTAGGGCTGAGCACCTCCTGCAGCCCCCCAGACCCACATCAGCCCCACAGGGCTGTGCTTCCCAAACACCCACCCGGGGCCAAGCCGCCTTATAGCTCCAAGCCCACCCCTCAGGGCTGGGCACCCCAAAAAATGACTGTGTCCCCCTGGGACCCCCTGGGGCTGTGCCTGCCAGTGGGACCATGCTCCCCAGGGACCCCCAGGGACCCCCAGAGCTCCCCGACCCCCCTGCCCTGGCCACATTTCCATGGGACCATGCTTGCCCCAGGGTACACCAGAACCCCCCACAGGGTCATGCACCCCTGGGACCCCCCTCGCCCCAGTCCTGGGGGGGGGCTGTGCCCCCTCCCCAAACGGGGCGGTGCCACGTGTGCGCGTGCCGCGGCCACGTGTGGGGCGGGGCACGCGTGGGCGCGGGCTGACGACACGCGCCGCCGCTCCGGGTGTTCAGCATCCCCCCTTCCCCCCCACCCGTGTCCATCCCCCCCCTTGGGCTGCAACCCGAGAGCTTCATCCATAATTCAGCCCGGCGGCCTGGATCCACGCCCGGGGATGCGTGGATGCGCCCAGTCGCCGCTACCGGGGGAGGGGAGGGGAAGGGAGGGGAGGGAGGGGGGCGGTGAGACCCGCCGATGCACCTCCGGTGTGACCTCCGGTGCACCGGGGGGGTCCCACCGCCCCCCTCCCTCCCCTCTCCCGGTGCTCCAGGAGTTGGGAGGGGGTACCCACCCCCCCACCCACCCACGGAGGCGTCCGGCGCATCTGCTCAGCGCCGCCCCCCTCCCCCGGCGCCCCGTGCCGGCGTGCGCCCCCCACCCGCGTCCCATCTGTCACTCCCCCACGCCGCGGGCTGACTCAGTTGGGAGCTGAAGTCACCGGTTCTTAGCGTTTCCCCCCACCCTCGGTGCCAACCCCCCCATCCCGGTACTCGAGGGTACCCCATGGACCCCGCGGTACCCACTCGCGGGGTGACCCGGCCACCCTCGGCACTACAGCGGTGCCCACATTGTGAACCGCGGGGCGTCCCTAAGCCGGGCTGGGGGTCCTGGGGTGGCACCGGGTCTCTTGTGGGTCGTGGGGCACCCCCGTGCCAGGGTATGCGTTGGGGGTCGTGGGGTACCCACACTCCGGGCTGGGGGTCCAGGGGTGGCGCCGTGTACTCCGCGGCTCGTGGGGCACCCAGAAGCCGGGCTATGCATCCCGGTGTTGCACAGGGCGTGCCGGGGATTGTGGGGACCGCCGCGCTGGGCGGGGGTCCCGCGGTGGCACCGGGTACCTCATGTGTCATGGGGCACCCCCACGCCGGGCTGGGGGTCCCGGGGTGGCATCGAGTACCCCGTGGGTCATGAGGCACCCGTACTTCGGGCCGGGCTGGCAGCGGGCACCTCGCGGGGCGTGGGGCACCCCCACTCCAGGCAGCGCGGGGGTCGCGGGGGGCGCACCCTGGGGTGCCCCGGGGCTGCGCTCCCACG